GAACCACACAGGAAGGGAATTTGCATGGGCATTTTTTTGCATTGGTCCATGAAGGATACACCATTGAGTATAAGAAAAAACTTGAGATGCAATCTGACCGTTAGAGAGGGATATCAGGAGAAGCGTTGGAAGGCAACTTCCTGAAAGGGTTGAAACTAGACATTCAAGCATCGCTTCATCTATTGAGATTGCAAGAATTAGGGGAAACTATGGAATTAACGCAGTTGGTTGAAAATAAAAATGCAATGAAACATGTTAATAAGAGTAGCACAGGTGGAGCACCATATCGAACCGCTACAACCACAACGATACTAAAAGCTTAAATACTGGAAGTCTTGAGGGAGGCTCTACAGAGCAAAAATGAAAGGTCACGACTGGGGGCAACACTCAAACGCCTTACAGAGACATATTTTGGAGAAGCTAGCTATGGGTTTATGTTTTTGGTGTGATAAGAAGTTTTTTTTCTGAATACCGTTCTAAGGATTGGACATTGCAGATTCTCAGTGTGACACGAGGAGGCAGGGGATGCAGAAACAGAGAAGGTTGTGGCGGAGGAGGATGAACACCCTCACTTGCATGGGCAAAAGTCTTATTGAAATTAGTGGTGAGATTAACACCGAACCACACTATGAAACTTCAGGGGTAGATTAGAGAGCATAACGTAGTTTTGTTAATAGATAGTGGGGTCATCTCCAACTTCAACTCTACTCAAATAGTGAATCAATTGATAAAGGATAAAAAAAAATAGCGAAGCACTTGGGCCTTGATCTCATGACATGGCCCGAGACTTGGAGTTAAGCAAGATGGGAACAAGTGATTGGATGGTGGAAATCAGTTATCTGTTATTCTAATTCTATTACTAACAATTTAATATTCAAATAATACATGAAAGAATCATTAAAGAAAGCAATAAAAATTAATAAGGATTATAATTTTTTGGTTGTTCTCGTCTTCTATATACATTTGCTCATCTTATTTTCATCTTGTTCAAATATTTAAAACCTAATATTAATATTAAAGCAACGTAATAGGTTATCTAAAAATAACACATGAGTAATCACACTTCTATATTGTTTATTCAATGAAAATAATTCAATATGTATGTGGGTCTATAAGAAATCTTATACTATGTTTGATCTTGCCCTGTGGCTCTCATCGGTACAACAGTTAGCGATTTACACATCGCAATTTTCTAAGGTGAAAAGGCCCTTACTTGCCCTTGATCGATATAATCCCGTCGGCACAACGGTTAGTAATGTTAACATTACATTTGTCCGGGGAGGTAGACTCTGGTCTACTCGCCCTGACCGATATTGTCTTGTCGGCACAATGTTTAGTAAACTGACTATTACAATTGTATGGGGTGATAGAAAAACTTTACGCATGCGGGTAAGTTGGTGTTCATATTTATACCTTTAGGGGGTGAAATTCTCCTCTGAACATACACATACAAACATTCATATATAAATTAATTCATTCTTCATACATACATTATTTTGAGACATTTTTATGCATATAATAACATGCATATTTATTCTTACTATGTTGTGCAACTATTCATTTTACATACCTCTTATATCATGTGTATCTTTTATCTCATGCATTTTTTATGACATGCATATATTTTCTATCATGCTTTATGCATATATGTTTTCTAAGACGTCTGTCTTTCATATCATACATATTATAAATATCATGTATCTTGCGTGCTAGAAAATTCGTGGCGGTAGAGTAATTGATTATCGTCTTAGCGTTGCACGAGGATTCAACACACACTCAGATGAAAGTGAAAACAACCAGTGATGACACGAGGTTTTTATGTGGAAAACTCGTAAAGGAAAAAAACTACGGGGTCTGACACAGTTATAAAAATTTACTATATGTTGATGATTACAACGACCCCTTGTCCTACAGACGGGAAAGAGTTACTAGATTTTCGAAGGTACAACGTTAGCTAACAACATCTAGTTGGCGGTGGTTGATGGAGGTCGGCGATGATCAACGATAGTCAACGACAATCGATGATGGTCGGTGGTGGTCAACGGAGGTCGGCGGTTGTCGCAGACGGTGGGTGGTCGACGGTGGTCGACGGTGGCCGGCAGTGGTCGAGATAATGTTGGACTTGAGCTCTTTCTCAAAGCCTCAAGTTCTCTCTCAAATCTCCCCCTTTCATGTGAGGGGTGAGATTCTATTTATAATGTTTTGAATGCAATTAATGCTGGAATATGAACCATTTCGAGTTCGAAAAGGACTGCTCAGAGGGCATTCCTCAATCAGATGACGTTTGATGGACATTTGAGTGTCTTAATAATGCCAGAATTGAGCAATCTTGGGCTCGTTGGATTCGTCTTGTCGAGACGCGGGATTCAACTATAAACTTGCTAGATTCGACATCCGTTTAACATTTCAAATGCCTCTGAAAATCCTCCAAGTGTGGTTTAATGATTTGATCCCATCTTGATTTGACTCGGATTAGACTGATTTTCATATCATTAGGCCTGTTTCATCGAGCTGATCAGTTTGACTATAAGTTTGCTGAAATCGGAGCTCTGGATAACTCTTTATCAAGATTTGAATATTTTCTGCTTAAAATGTAATCTCGAGATTTGTGTCATGCCTCGAAATTTATGTCGGATAATGAAAATTTGTTAGTGGCGTATCAGCTGCCCCCCTATTTTTGGGCGAGATCAATTTCATCGTCCAAAAATATATATATATTTCTTTCAGGCACATTTTTTATATCATACATTGTATATCTTTTCTGTCATACATTTATTTTCTCACAAGATGAAGATATTGTAATATGATTCTAGCCGATCTAAAGCATACATATAAATCAACATGTATTTTTAAATAAAGAAGATTACTGAAATTTTGAAATATAATTACTCACCCCAATTGCCACAAGAGTAATTAGTTGACCGTTGGATACCATTACTATTGATCTCAATAACCTATAAAACATAATATTAAACTTTAAGATTTAAGTAATTTTTGATACTTGAATTAATCCTTAACTTAGAATTATTTTATCGGAAATTTATGGAGTCGTCATACAAATTGCTTTCACACGATTGCCTCGAATTTGCCGCCTCAAGTAAACAACATAGAATATGTAAATATATTAGGATTTATAAATTTTTGGCTCACATCCAAAAGCAACAATCTTACCTCAAATAGGCTTCTCGGCACGTGTTCGCCTTTCCAAAGTTGCCAAATATCTTCGCTCCTCAGTCTATCTTCTGAAACTCATCTTTCCTTTATGTTATTGTGCTAAAACTCTTACGGAGCTCGCAAACCACGTTCAACACTTATGAATCGAGATGGAGGACTTATGACGGAATCGAGAGGAGAAGAGGAAAATCGATTGCTCTGGAACCCCTCTTTAATCGACCCAACGAATATAATGAAGGGAGAGGCAGTTGGAAACAATAATGCAAGATTGAGGATTCATTAAGGCTTAATTATGTTTAATGAACTTGTAAATTTTGATTTTTATAACTTTCAATTCATTTAAAATTTACATATAGTATTATATATCAAATTGATCGATTTTTATGTACAATTTATAAAATTATTTCGATTGAAATCCAAGGGATCCGAAGTTTGGGATATATTTTAGGTTGTCGAAATTTTTTATCCAATATCTCAAAACTGGTTATTACACTTGAGATGGTGAACATAGGATAGTTAGGAGTAATGATGGGGACAAGACATGTGGAGAAGAATAGGAGAGTTTGTAAAGGAGTGATTTTAACGTTGCCAAACATCCAGGTGATAGATGATTTTCTTTCCTTACATTTAGGGAGAATTGACGTGCTATTGGGCATGAAATGATTGCAATCCGTAGGGAGAGTAAGATGAATTGAAAACTTCGACCTTGGAGTTTCAGGAGAAAGATAAGAAGTTGTTGCTTCATTGTTAGCGGATCCATCAAAGGTGGTGGATAAGGGGCCAGCCACCACGTAAGACCTAGAAGGGGCTGGAAGGTTTATGGGACTTACAAGATGCTATAAGAAATTCATGAAGGATTTTAATTCAATTGTGTGGCCGTGGACGAAGAAATTGAGAGAGGATAACTTTCAGTGGGAGAAAGTAATGACCTAGACTTTTGAGAAGTTGACGAAGACTATGACGATTGTGTCAGTGCTGATCACATTAAGCAGACTTGAGCCAGTTTATGAGCAAAGAGCCACACAACGTTATTCAACAGCAGTTTCTTTTTTTTCCTTACCTTGAGGTTAATGTGTCTTTGTGGAAGGAGTTACACCGGTCCCTAAGAGCAATTTAGTTTTTGTTATTTAGTATTGTGTAGTATAAATATGGCTAATATGTTTAGTCTTAGGGTTATGCATGAGATTGTTATCTTTGAGTCTTAGGGTTACGGTTTGGGAGAGATTTTCTACCTCTCAAATTGTAAGATTTGAAAGAGATCGTCTATCTCTCGAATTGTAAGTGCTTATCATTTATATATTTGGACCTGTGATCGTTGATTTGTTTTCGACAAAATAAAACATATATTATTTCTGTCTAATTTTTTTTGAAAAATCATCTTGGATCTTATCAAAAGGGCAAGTGAACAATGTTATGGTGATCAATGAAAAAACTAGATCATTTAAAAAGTAAGTCTTTTCTCCTTGAAATGAAGTTGATTGCGTGTTATATTTTTAATTGAGTTTATATGTGATAGTTTTCTTTAAACTACTCATTTAATGTCAGCTCTACTTTTAACATGATGTTGCTATCGAATCATACGCCTTTCATCATTAGTACTTCCTCCCTTTGCCAATTGATGTGAAGTTTTGTTGTTATGTGTCCTTAAAACTGGAGATTGCTGATTTTAACTTGTGCTAATGAAACCAAAAAAAATTGTGTTTTAATTGAAATGATCACAAGTGCCGTGCTCATCAAGCGATGTTTCAATGAGTTTAAAAGTGGTTTTTTCTGTTCATTTTTCTCTTTATGGACAGTGTAATCTAAGCGTTTCCTTGAATTGTCAGGAAATTAAGGAATCGGTGCAGTCAGATTATCGACATCTCGTATCTCTCCTTGTTCAGCCTATGCTGCAGGTACTATCTTCTCTACATATAATCAACTACTATTTTCTCTAATTTATAATCTCTCAAGAATTTAAACGTTGAGTAGGCATTCTAACTTGTTTGCACGGCTAATAAATTCTTATTACATTTCCTGCAACAATTTGATGCCCTAGATTAACTGTTAACGCCTCTTAGATTGGGAAAAAAAATTCATTTATTATTTAAGTTTATTAAATATCACATTCTGATGGTATGCTTAGAGTTTTTCGACTAAGAAGCAATCATATTATTCCAAATTAAGCTTTCACTTTTGAACATTTTTGTTTGATAACGACATAAATCTATATATATATAGCTCTAATAAGTTTTATTATGTTAGCCTGTTCCTTATATGTTATTAGCAAGCAGCATTTTACTTGCCTCGCCTTTTATCCAACTTAATCTAAAACTACGCATTTTACGATCTCGTAGAAATTATATGCTTGAACACTTCCTTTTCTTGACTTTTTTGCAAGTAAGCTTCCAATTTCAAATAAGATTTCAAAATCAGATTGAACATCTAATCCAGTATGAGAAAAGGTTCAAAGTTTAAAAGTTGAATTGGGATTGAACCGGATGATGTAATAAATCTTAAAATTATTTTAATGGCTTAAAATGATATAATAATGTAGTATGTATGTTAAATTTGTTTATTTATTTGTTAAAATTGTAATATAATTAAGTTTATAATATGTTGATCGATTTGTATAAGCCAAGTCCTCACAACACAATCTAATTTCCCATTAAGGTAGTCATTCTCATTGCTCAATTAGTTCCACAAAACATGGGAGAGTTAACATTGTAATGTTTAAATAAAAAAAGAAAATATTCATAGTTGGAGCTTGTAGCTCACTTAGTTAACAGTATAAACTTTTTTTTTTTGCATGCTACCCTACTATCATATTGTTGATATTTTTATTAAAATTATCGCTTATACTGCTTAACGACGTCACGGATTTCAACATTTTGAGCTTGCTGCATGTGGAACAGGCTCTAGATGCTGCCTTTGCCCATTATGATAATGAGCAGCAGAAACGAACCGCTAAAGGTGGAGCAATGCCAAATGGTTTTACCCTGTAGAGTTTGGAAAAAATTTGCGTACCTAAGACATACGTCAGTAGATTACAGGGAGGTGTTGGGGGATTATAATCGCGTTATAGCTCCTGTAACCTCCCTGTAATCTACATGTATCTTCTAGTAAGTTCCGCTTTTCTGCTTTCATATATTTGTAGGTTACATGTACGTTACAGTAGGTTACAAAGGGTATAACGGGGATATAGCCCCCCGATACCCTCACTGTAACATACCTACGTACGCAGCGCTGCGTACGTCTTACGTACCCAAATTTTTTCCGTAGAGTTTATATTACATTTTTTTTTCTTGTATATTTAGTGAATTTTGATTTTAATACGGAACTATAATTTTTTTTTTTATTTAATACAACGAGAATTGATAGTATGCCTTTTTATTTTCTCCTCATATCAGATGATTGCATTTTGTTATGGCTTCAGGATTTTGGGCCAGTATGGTATGTTTCACTGTTCACTTTTTGCTGGTTTGCTCTTATAATGGTTTTCTTGTCACATCATCTACTTCAATTAATGTGGGCCAAATTTGTTATTAATTAGTCGTATCAATGCAAAATTATGAAGGCAAATTTACATAACATGGCACCCAATTCTTAGTATTTACATAACTAACGCCTAAGTTTCACTTCTTATATTTATATCACCCAAATTTTCCTATCACAAAAATACCATTATTTTAATTTTTAGGTGAAATGCACCTTGTCATGCATAGGTAAGGTGGTATACATGTAAAAACTAAAGTTTAGGTGTTAGATATGTAAATATGTGACAATTGAGTGGTGTTAATCTAAATCTTCCACATTAAACTCTACTTGAAACAATGCAAACTACTTAAAACAATGCAAGTCCTTAAAAATAAAATATACACACAAATTTTCTAATAGAAAATACAATGATTATAAATAAAAAATTAGAAGGAAATCAGGAAAAAAATTGCTATTAAAATAAAATTATCTGCTTGCTTTAAGAATGTCACGGTATAAAATTTATGATCAAATTCAATTCATGCAATCCTAAAACAAACATCATTCAAATACATATATATATATATATATTGGCATGATTATACCTGGAATTACCTATAGACGGGTATTATCACGAACCAAATCTCGAACCATTAAACCTGATTATGTTTATCCCACTTATTGCACTCGACTGGACGTAGTCGATAAATAAGTATGCTCAGAGGATCCAACCCTAAGTGCAATATATGACATATTAAATCCTTCTCAGTAATAACTACCAAAAAGTTGAACTATCACTTGGGATATCTAGCAACTGCGGCAACATGGGTTGCCTTTTTTTGGGGTTAGCTCATGTTGCGATCCGATATAACCCATATAAGACTATATCATACCAAGTTGAGTTCTCAAAAGATTATTTAGCCCAATATCTATTTGGAAGAAATTCCTTTTATAGATGCATATTATTTTATCTTCAAATCACAAAGTCGCTAAATCACAGGTAAATGTATAAAATAAAACTAAAGATCACATCGTTCTATTATTTTTATATACATCGAAATTTTTTACATCCAAAATATTTATAAACATTGGTTATGATTTTTTAATAATTCCAACAAACATATGAATTTATTATGATCACAAAATACATATTCAAAATATACCACTATCAACAAGTATTATCAGCTCACTCCATTAGATCCTACCCTTCCGTAAAAATATGTAAAACAACCATAAGTGAACAATCACAGCTTAATAGTCACACAGAACCTATAATTAAAATTAATGCACGAAAATAAAACAATATGTATCTATATGTTACTAAACTTGTATAGATATACTATAAGACATGTACCTACAATATAGTATCAAATCCCATTAGTCGTAATGTAAAAAAACTGTATTTTTTCTAGCATAACAAAATTAATATAAAAATAACATAATAATATTTTTTATTTAATTCGAACTAAAATGAGTCGAACACAAACAAATAAAAGCTCGAACATATCCCAACTTGTAATAAATTAATTTCAAAACATTATTTGTGTTCGTCATATTTGCTTAAAGAACAAAGCCGAAGATAATTTGTTGGTCAATTAGCTCCTTTTTTTGACAGCCCTAATTCAGCTTTGTGCTCATCAATAGAACTATATTCTGCATACCATCAACCATTTTTTTCTTTTTTCTTTTTTTTTGCTTATAGAAGTTAGTAGCAATTGATTTATAGCCAAACAATCTTGACTTAATTAAGGCACAAAGGCGTAATGAATACATCTTTTGGAACATCCTTCTTGTGTAAATTGTGATGATTTATTACCTTTTGACTCCGTAATCAAGCTTGACTTTATTACAGGAATACACAAAGTCAAAATATAATAAATAATCAAAACTTGCATAATCTCTCCTCTTTAAGTTTAGTAGAACTGAATTCTTGGAAGGATTACTTTGCTAATCCCGTATTTAATGACTTAACAATTCCATGGCATGTTTAGATATTAAAATGTAAATCTCTCTTCTTTTCGTTGTCTTTATACTCCTGCTTTGCTTGCAAAATTGAAGTTCTCGATCATCAAAGAATGAGACAATTTTGTGTATTAGTTTGGTCTTTACCTACCATTTGCAATGAAATTGTTAGGTTGTTTTTCCTCAATTGGATTCCTTGAATTTGGGTTTCTTTGAAGAAGATATTTGGGGGCAGAAATTTGAAGGCATGCATGTAAAAATTGAAATTTATGTTAGATATTTAGATACATGGGAAATAAGAAAAAAAATTGCAAAAGCCATTGACTCTAGATGCTAAGCAGGCTATCTTAGCTTGATTGGACATGGGCAACTCCTGTACTTACATTACATTACAACGAATCTCTTTTTATAATTGTAAATAATTAAAGTTAGTTGAGGGTAAAATTGAGTTATTGAAAAGCTGCTACGAGTGATGGACTGTTCTCCATACAATCTGGAAACTAATAACAATTTGCTTACAACTATTCATTTCTTATTAATCTAATTGCAAAGAGCTAAAATGCACAAAATTCCATCAAAATATCAATAGAGTTGGTTTTCAAATAAAAAAAATGAGAAGATTTGACACCTAAACTACAATTCTTTTCACATAGTGCACCTTACCCATGCATGAAAAGATGTATTTTCACTTCTTAGAAGTTAAAAGCTAGTTCCTTTTTTGATGCAATACGAAAGATTTGAGTGATATAAATGTAAAATACACAGGAAATACATATGAATTTTGGGGGGTAGGTATATAAACTTCTACAAAATTTTCCTAACAATAGACAGCAATGACCTCTATCATTGCGGATGATTCAACTATAAAAACTGGATCCAGCAACGACTCAGAAGCAAAAAAATAGAAAACCAACAGTAAAGTGCTAAAATAGTCCATTGGCTATTTACATAAAGATCATTTCAGTCCTAGAGTTTCTAATAATGCTTAGTTAATCCCAAGACATTTTAATGGGGGCTAAAAAAATCTTCATTGAAGTTTATTTCAACCCATATTAAAAAAGCCTTCGGATTAAATAGATAATTTTATAAATTTTGGGAGTAAAATGACCTCTTCCGAAGGGTCAAAAGATCAATTTTGACTCTTTCTTGAAAACCAACTCTCCAATAATAGGTAGGGGTTAAGTATCAAAATAGTCCCCTCACTGGCTATTTTAGTCCCAGAGTCTAATACAAGGGCAAAATTACTCTCCCAGACACTTAAAAACTGAGGCTGAAATTTCAGCCTAATATTAAAAGACTCCAAGGACTAAATTGATACTTTTATAGACTTTGAGCTAAAATGACATTCTACAGAGTGGACAATTTTGACACTTTCCGAATAGATAAACCTATCAACAAAAGCCTGAAATTCAGTTCATACAAGGTTTACTACAACAAATCACAAAACTTAAGAGTAAGATATTTCCTATGCTTTATTGTGTCAATTTCAGAACATATTTTACCACAAGAAGCTGAAAAACTAATAGCATCACTGAAGCAGTCAATAAAGTTCATTCCATCCACAGTTGACAGGGATTTTTGACAGAATTAGCACATAACTTCCAACAATACGATAGATTTGACATTAGTCGAAGAAAAATGCAAAACTATAAAGAGAAATACAAGAGATTTGGCAAATAGACTACCTAAGGAAATTAAAAGACAGCTCATTTACATTAAACTATTGGCCGACCAGCAAATCCATTAAGACAGCTCCTCACTAAACCATAATACAATATCATTATAAGTGAATACATTCTCCTTATTTCAATTTGACACCACTGCTTTAAAACTGAGGCTCTAGTCTTCATGGCTACACAAAATAAAACCTGGAAAAGCAGAAAATTCTATCTCTCCATATCAAAATCAACCTTTAATCCAACTTCTGAAGAAAAATATAGCAAGAGAAAAGAAAAATATAAGGTAGATTTACATATCTACACCTAAACATTTATTTTTACAAACATACCGCTTTAAATATGGATGACAAGGTGCATTTGACATTTTAAAAGTTAAAATTGTGGAATTTTTAATATAATATAAAAAATTTGGATGGTATAAAGGTTAAAAAAAAAGGCTTAGGTGTTAGATAAGTAAATACGAGGAATTAAGTGGTTGTATGCAAACGCACCAAAATATAAATACCTCTATATCGTCCAAACACAATTTGGCACGTCAGACCTCGGACCGGCAACCGTTCTGTATATATAAAGCTTCTCGACGGGGGAGTCATCGCGCCTTGAACCCACTGACCCTCCTCGCCTCTCGTCGCAGCCTCGGCTTTCTCCGAGCCAGTAATCTACAAGCCCCCAAACTCACAGAGCACGATGACATCCAAAGGGATCGCATTGTCTCCAGCTTCGCCATGTTGGCCAAAAGAGCCTTATCCCCAAAAGGACAATCCCGAATTTCTAATTTTTTTAGACTTCTACAACCTGATAGAATATAATGTAGGCCTGCATCGCTCTTTCCAGCAAAGGCAACCGACAGCATTTTAACCTTATTTGCGTGTGCACCGATGCTTTCGAAGACTTGGTCGGTTAGGAGGCCAGAGAGGGAAAGGCGTCGGAGCTCCTTGCATGATTTGACGATGGCACTGAATCCAATATCGAGTGGTTGATCGGTGAGATGATCGGCGGTTTGTGGCTCGAGGATGCAAAGTCGAAAACACGTTAAATTTGGGCAGTTTGTTGCAACGGTGATGAGTGCGTTGTTTGTCATTTGTCGGCAGAAGTAGAGCACAGAGCGAAGCAACGGGCAACCGGCAGAGATGCTCACAAGCCCACGCTCGGTAAGAGAAACAGGTTCTAGATCGTAAGGATCAAAGGGAAAGACTCGAAGCTCTTGGAGAAGCTTGCAAGATGATGCAACGGCTTCAAGACCATCGTCCTCGATTAAGTCCATGACCTAAAAAAGACATTTCATTGATTTTTTTACAGTTTATAGCAATAGCTTCATCATTGGCACGTGGAAAAATGATGACACTATTGTGAAAGAAGACTGGAGTCGAGCAAAATCGAAAATAATCAAACAAATTTTGTTAGGCCATCACATTCGTACCACACAATTCTTATGTATTTACATATCTAACACCTAAACATTCATATTTACATACATACCACTTAAATCGTTAATATCACATAAAAAATACCACACACTACCTTTTTAAAAGTGAAATACACCTTTTCACGCATAGATTTATGGCACCAAGGTGTCTTAAGTGTAAACATCAAACTTTGGGTGTTAGATATGCAAATACATAAGAATGGTGTGATATGTATGTAAATTTCCCAATATTTTTAACCAAAGTTTCATGCTGTGAAGAAGTTAAATACAGCAAGCTGATAATGATTTCATACCCATAAACGCTGGAGATTTTTACACCGTGTAATCAGCTTTATAAGTTCAGCACTTTGCAGGTTAGCATAGCTCAGATTTAGAGAGCTAAGCCCATCACAAACGGGGTAGATAGTTGGAAGATATGCAGGAACAGCATCATAAAGACCAGATATGCTTTTCAGACCCCTACATTCCATAAATGACGATTCAAGGTTTGCAAAAAGGTCCGGACGAGAATCAGCTGAAAATCTGCCAGTTCCCAGGTTGACCAGTTGTGGGGCTTTACGGAGAATACCAGCAAGCCGGTCAAGAGGCAAGGACTGGTGGAGTTTAAGTGTCATGAGCTTAGAGCAGCTCTGCATAAGCCGCTCAAGAACGGAAAAATTTATCTCCCCATCAAGGCCGGCAATGTTAAGTGATATCAATGACGAGAAAGATTCTGGGAAATGACTAAGCCAATGGCTACAATTATTCTCAATGTCGTTCTCCTGCAGGTCCAACTCTCTTAGGTTTCTGTGAGAATGATGCATTATGAGAGAGAGGTTATGATTTTGCATTGTACATAATAAGGAACAAATTAAACTACAAAATAAATGAAAAAGGAGGATACTTTTGAAAAAGAAGTAATATATCTATCGACAAAATAATCATTTAGATAGTTATCACTGTTAAAAGATACATACTGTGCAGCCTGTTTAGCCTAATCGATGAGAGCTTTGTCTCTACCCACATGGTCTTGAGTTAAAGGCTAGCACATAACATAGAGGTGTGTGCATTAGTTTAAAAAAAAAAATTTACGCAAAATGTTAAATTGCAAATTAAGTCGAATACTGGCCATATCGATGATAAGTATTTATACACATTCTATGTCATGTAAAAATTTTTTTGCAGAGCTCATGCAAGAATTGATGTTATCACAGCCATAGTTTTACAAAATTTACCAAAACACTCTTTTACGGAGCCCTAGGCAACAAAAAAAAAGAACGCTTGTGCTCAACTAGAAAGAAAGAAATTTGAACCTAGCATAACACATGCAAATCAATCTACAAGCCATAAATCATAGTACAAAATAACCAATTAATTTTCACATTAAGATTAAAAAACTTCATACTGAAAACAATTAACCAGATCTTCAAAGCATGAAATTGTAAGTACAGTCACATGTCTGGTTACTTTAAAAAAAAAAAAGAACTGAAATTGCAACTTAAACCACATCTAAACAAAACAATTTCAAGATAACTCTGTAATAACATTTTTTCAGAAATTTGAAAAACGAAAGAAAAAATAACAATACACTAACAGTATAGCTATTTCCAACCAAACATCAATAACGAGAAACCGCCGTTTATGCTAAGTTTCCAAATAACAATACTCTAGAGATGGACCTGCAAAAAAATTCACAAAACTCATAACTCATGATGCATACATAAGGACACTGCTCACAAAAGACAACCATGAAAGAAAGAAAATCAAAAGAACTAGCACACAAAGCTATAGCAATCTAAAAGAGGAAAAATGGTACTGACAAAGTAGAAAGTGTATTGCAAATGAGCAAATCTAAAAACACAATTTTGCAAAAAATCATGACATATTCATCCGTGGAGGTGAAAAAATATTGCCCATATATATGTATAGAAATGAGCTAGGAAGAAAAACACTATGGTTATAACAGATAATAATGCAGCATTTACCACCCAAATATTCCCTATCACATCAAAAATCCAATCATTTTAACTTTTAAAAAGTGACATATACCTTTTCATGCATAAGTTAGGTGGCACGTATGTAAAGATTGAATTTCATCGTTATTTATTGTTCAAAACCGTTAGAGGAGAAAATTTTCAGTTCCAAAAACTCCACCATAAATTAAATTGGAAGCACAGAATAATAGTGAAATTAAATTGGCAAGCTCACTGCTAAAGAGTGGAACTTACTACAAACATCATCTATAAGTTGCCAAATAAAGATAGGAGAACAGGAGATACTAATTTAAGTGAAAAAATCATGTCATATAACCACAGAATCCAAAATCACATTTTAAGAGCTCTCTACACCCGGCTATTCCTTCAATAACACAAGTTCCAAACACAGGATCTTTCACAGTTTGAAACTCCAAAAAATCTGAAGGAAAAAAAATCCAAAAACACGATCTATACAACTCTATAATCTCCGCAGGAAACTAATAAACTGCTCTCACAGTAATTAGATAGCTAATCCGCCCACTAAAGTTAGCAGCACAAGTGAAAATGTCTGTTTTCAGAAGAACACAAATCTATCCAAATGCCAAAATAATGATGCACGAAACCCTCATGTTTTACTCAAGCTCTGCCGATAACCTAACCTCCAGCAATCAAGAAACCAAAATAAGAATGGCTACTTATCTTCCAAAATCCCTCTAAAAGTCATCAAGTCATACCACCGAAAACCCTAGTCGACTATGGGTCGCTAAAAAGTAAAACCAAACAAAAAAAAAAAAAAAAAACTAATAAGTGAAAGATAAAAACGAGCGTTACTAATCATTTACCTGCAATTGGAAGCGATGGATGCCAGCCCAGAAGTACTGAAACCCTCGCAGGACGCAAGTGAGAGCACCTTGAAGTTCCGAAAGGACCTCCCGATGAGCTCAAGACACTCATCAGTGACCACCATTCTCTTAAACCTAAGCTCCTCGATCTGCGGACAAACCTCCGCCAACGCCTCCACCCACACAGCAGCTCCGGCACCCCAGTCCCTCGGCACAAGATCGAAATCGGCGAAGTGGGGCTTTCCTTTGATGGTCACCGCTCTGACTTCAGGAAAACGCTGTAAAGCCATCGCCGGAGAAACGGCGTAGCAGTTCCCAACAAAGATGCGCCCCCGCCGCTCGATCCGGTACCACCCCCGGCAGACCAGCGAGATCGCGTTCCTGTCTACGTCCGCCTCCACAAAAGAGAAGACATACTCCCATACCTCATCCGGGAACATCGGCTCCGCCACCCACTCCCCTCCCCCCATGCCCTAGTAGCCCGCTCCTCTCTCTCCCCCTCTGCTCTTGCTTGCTGAGGAGCACTCACCTCTCCTTTGGCTTTTGGTGTTGCAGATTAGGGGAGGCTCGAATCGCGGCGCTGGAGAAGGAAATTGTGACGCGTGTACAAAGGAGGATAAGAGCCGTTGGATGGGTCGGTCCCGTCGTCTCTATCAGGAGCGTGATTAGGCAGAGCTCCAGAGGGGCGATGAATCCATTGACGACCTTTATAGTGCCGAGCAGCAACAGGTGAGTTAACCCTACCGATCCTCTGATCTGATCCTTTGAAAATTTTGGGCTTAAAGTCATCTACGTCATGTAGCTTATATGGAGGGTATTGAAAATTATATCCACATTATATTTTCTGTAATCTACAAATATATAAAAACAGAAACGTGAAACTTACTATTTACAGATAAGTTATAGGAGGTAAAACACGGGTATAATATTTAATACTCTACATGTAATCTACCTGACCTACACAGCTGCGTACGTCATATCCACACAAATTTTTCTCTCGTCAAAGAGACAACCACTTAATATTCAAGAAATGAATGAAGTCCTGAAAAATGGCACCACTAAATTCCTATCCATCTTAATTTTAATTTTTGCATATCCGTCATTTTATTTATACATTTGCCCTAAAAAAAATATGTTTCACTTTTTAGAATTTAAAATAGCATAATTTTGAATATGATGGGAAAGATTTAGTAGGGATGCAAATGAATCAATAAGTTAATAAGAGTTAAATTATATTTATTTGATTAACTAATTGAATAAAATTTTTAAACATCTATTTGGTTATGTTAATGAGCAACATCATTTAAAGCCCGTGAACAAGATTGTTAAGAAGATCAATAAATAATTTTATTTAAAATTATAGAATAAGATCGATTTATTAGTTATAATTATAATCGGCTAGTTTAATTTAAGCTTGTGAATAAGCTCAATTAAATTTTAACTTAAGTTAAATTAAATTTTAATTATAAAATTTGATATCATCATCTTTTAAAAATTTAGATGTCCATAACAAAAAATATGAGCCCAGGCGAGCGATTGACGAACCACCAGAGCTCGTTTGTGAGAAAAGAAATCAATGAATAAATTGAACATATAGATAGAATAAATCTTTAATTTTTTTTTTTTTTAGTTAAATATATATCATTGATGTCTAAAAAAATATTTTTAAAATTTTTTAATTCACTAATTTAAGACATCTTCGTCCGATATGTGTCCCTTTTTATTTTAATATTATTCAAATTAGACGCGTTAGGAACGTGTCAAGTACGAGTGTTGACATCTGAAAAGTATCCAACACTGCACGACTCCTTAATCAGAAGTGTCTGTGCATCATAGGTGGTTTAGTGTTTTGTCTAGATCATGAATTTAATGACTCGCATATTCGGTGTTCGTACGTTTGCAATTAATTTTAATCAATTTTTTTTTCTAAAAAAAATTAGGTATTACATAAATAAATACATAAAGAATCCGGTGGGTATGTACATAAATTTCCTCAATTTTTAAGTAGCATAAAATCAACTATGTAGCAATGAATCCCGGGAAATGAGTTCTCTCATAAATTTTGAGAGTGAAAAGTAGGGTGAAGTGTTGGCCAAAAAATCTGTTCATTTGATTGAGAACTTTTTGAGTGTTCAAATCAAACTTCATTAATTTTGTTAGCCAAAGCAATACTCAATTTGTGTTGATGGAAGCCATCCTCATTGTTGTCGAGCTAATCAAATTGGCGTGGATGTTAAATGGAGGCATCTACCCACATGCATGGCACATCATTCTTATGTATTTACATATGTCACATCTATATTTTAATATTTACATGCATACTACTCTAAGCTTAAATATCACATAAGAAAATAATGATTTTATTCATTTTATGATAGTAAAATGCACATTTGATATGCATGTAAATGTAAAGATTTAGTTGTGAGAAATGTGAATTGGGTCCTATGCATGTACATTTTCCTTGATTTTTTTACTAGGTTTAATAAGATTGAGAAAGTGTTTTAATGTTATAGAGATTTTAATTACAATTTGTCTATAATAAAGATCAATGAATGTTAAGCTATCTCGCGACTTTGTTATGATTAAGGTATTAACAATAGGATAAAGCCATTTTTGTGAGATAGGATGCACTAACAGACGTAAGTATATCTCCGATGTTAGCATGTACTCCTTAAGACATTCTAAGACGTTTTTATCCTCTTCTTGCTCGTGTTCCAACTCTTTCATTTCAGATTTCTCTTCATACGTTGCTTTGAAATGAAATTCACTCAGATCTCTTATTCCATACATTCTGTAACATTCATAATCTTTACTTTTTGCAAGATACTTCATCGATTTTGAAATATTAAAAGTAATTGTTTGATCATTGAACACATAATTAATTCCCTTTTCTGCACATCCATAATTGCTCTTCATATGACTAGGAATGGTCTCCCCAAAATGATAGGTATCTCTTTATCTTCCTCCATATCTAGTACAATAAAATCAACAGGAAAGACTAATTGATCCACTTTCACTAAAACATCTTCTATATCTCTCTTAGGATATGTTATTGAACAATCTGCTAACTGCAAAGTTCCAGTAGTATGAGATATTTCTCCTAATCCAAGTATTTTAAATATTAATAATGACATAAGGTTAACGCTTGCACTTAAATCACATAAAGCTTTCCCATAAAATCTGTCTCCTATTGCACATGAAGTTGTGAAGCTACCAGAATCTTTGAACTTTTTAGAAAGCTTTTTCTAAATTATAGCAGTGTACTCCTCACTAAGTGCAACAGTCTCGTTATCTTTGAACTTTTTTTTTATGTTAAGAATATTCTTCATAAACCTCACATAGCTTGACATTTGTTCTAGGGCTTCAACAAATGGAATATTAATCGTAAGCTTTTTAAAGATTTTCAGAAAATTTGAAAGTTGTTTATCCAACTTTTGTTGATGAAGTCTCTGAGGAAATGGAGTTGTTGGTTTTTCTAAGTCAATTTTTAGTGGAGAAATAAGTCTCTCTAAATCTTTCGGAGCGTCTTGTTTAGGCTCTTCAATTTCTTTTCACTTTACTTCAATCTCTGTTTGAACTCTACCTTTCAACTCTCTTCCACTTCTAAGTTGAACAGGTTTTATTTGCTCTTTATTATGATAATTTTGATTTACCTATGTATTACTAGGAAGTGTTCTTTGAGATCTATTACTTAATGAATTTACTATTTATCTCAATTGATTCTCAATATTTCTAATTGCAGCTCATTGACTTTGCAACTAATTTCTCATTTGTAACACCACTTCTTCTATAGACAACTTTTTTTCCTTAAATTGTAGATTAATGTTAAAACTTAGAGGATAAGTAAGTCTATAATTATTATTACCTTGGTTGTTCCACTTTCCCAATGAGTTTACTTGGTTGTTCCCCCATGCTGATTATTACCACCCAAATTATTATTATTCCAGTTAAAGTTATGATGATTTTTCCAACCTGGGTTATAATTATTTGAATATAAGTTATTTGGCTTGTTATTTATGACATTCAAAGTTTCTAATGATGTTTAAGAATCTACCATTCGTCCTAATGAATTCTCTTCAATCATTGAAATTGGTTGAGAAAAATTCATTCCAAATTGGTTTAACTTCCTTGAAATTATAACAACTTGATTTGCTAACATTGCAAAAGTATCAGATTCATGAATATTGACTACTTTCTTAGAATTTACCCTCTCATAAGGTCATTGAAAATTATTAATAGTCATATCTTAAATTAAAGCATATACGTCATAAAATGGTTTTGACATCAATGAATTAAGAGCAGCGACATCGATAATAGATCTAAGAGATCCAACTAATCTATTGTAAAATGTTTGAATTATTAATCAATCTGGTACAACATGGTGTGGACACTTTCTCAGAAGCTTTTAAACTGTTCACACGGTTCATAAATAGATTTCTCTTCAAACTGACAAAAAAGATGTAATATTATTTCCAAGCTTCATAGTTTTTTTATGGTGGAAAATATTTAGCAAGAAATTTCTGCGCTAAATCACCCCAAGTTCTGATAGATTCAGGTGTTAACAAATTTAACTATATATTAGTTTTATCCCTCAGTGAGAATGAGAAAAGTTCAATTCTAATAACATCATCTAAAACACCATATTAAATGTAGCACACAATTCTAGAAATTTAACAAGATGTAAATTTAGATCTTAAGTTGGTGCCCCCCCAAACTGATTATTTGATATCATTTGAATAATAACAGGTTTAAGTTCAAATGAATTTGTCACTATAGTAGGTTTTTGAATACTACGCGAAAGTTCTTCTAATGTAAGGTTTGTATAATCTCTTAAAGGTCTAAATTCTTGATTAATTTCAGCATTTTGATTATTTTGGTTTGTCATTTCTTGAAATTTTTGAACTTTTTTGTATTTTTTTTATTTTTTTATTTTTCTAATTGTTCTTTCTTATTCAGAACCGTAAGATACTAGTCCTTTAGAACCTGAACTACGCATACATTACTACAAAATAAAATAAAATCACACAAACAAGAACTTATATAAAAGCAACACTGTGATATTCCTATAATAAATCTAAAAGTTTAAATAAGACTTTCTAAAAAAAGAAATTTATTTTCCTAAATATTTCTTCAAAATTTACTAAAATTTTCTTTTTTCTCCCTAAAAACGGCGCCAAGAACTTAATCCCCTTTTCTTATATATATACTTCTACTTCTGACTTTACTGCTAAGAACTACATGTAAGTTCCCTGATAACAGAAGCCAAAAACTTGATCCCTATCTGGCATAATAGTACTATGATGTATGTGGGTTTAACTTCTCAATTCTCTTTATTTATATTTTTTCTTTACAATGATGACAAAAAATTGGTTCCGAGGCAAGTAAGAGTACAACAGTTATATTTAAATATTGAGATACTACGCAAGTATACATATCGTTATCAAGTAATTTAGATTTTTTGATTAAGCTCCGAAATATCGAACCCACATGAAGAACTACAAACTCTTAAGAAGAAATTAGATAACAAACTCTATTTTGAAAAAGAGACTTACTCAAACTTTAGACACTATGGTAGGAATGAAAGTTCAATTTTTTAGGTAATTTTGATAATTAAAAATAAAGTAAAAAACTAACAAAATCTAACTAGATTTTTGTAAGATGAAAGTAATACAACTAGATTTTTGTAAGATGAAAGTA